TCAGAAGGAAAGTTGATCAAATAAATTACAAATTTTGTATTGTTCGATACATATGCGTACCGAACCGAAAGCACTGTATCGAACGGTTCAATATCGATACGAATATCGTTGCACCCCTAATAGATAGATAGATAGATATTCATACATACATACATACAAGAAATGTTTATCGTTTAAACTTTCATGGCTGCAGAAAAATATTCAGTAATTTTGTGAGCGCTTGCTTATTTTCCAGCAAAGATCTGAAGTTGAACTTGTGGCCTTAAAGATTTCATTTCAACTCTGTTGAGTTGGAAATTGTGACACCTTGTGGACAAATACTAATAGTGCAGGTTAGTGCTTTACAAATGCTTTACACATGGAATTCTATTAGCATTGCATTCCATATAAATGTTAAAAATAATATTTCAGTGTGTGCTGGTTATTACAATAATTGTTTATATTCATCATTTCTATAAACATATTATATCTTAACAGTATTTCCTGAAAACCGTCTCTTGTCCTGTCATTTTCGCATAACATTTAAATTTACTGTAAGGGATTAAACAGCAGCGGGGAATACGTTTCATCACAATAGATGTCTGTCTGAAAGTGCTGTAACTAAGTTTAAAGATGGAAATCTTGAAAATCATGAAAATCTTAGAAATATGGTATCTAACCAGATTCTTACTCTGGATGGCATTACCATGGCCTTCAGTAACACTGTGAGGAAACTTGGAGTCATTATTGACCAGGATATGTCCTTCAATGCACATATTAAACAAATATGAAGAGCTGCTTTCTTCCATTTGCACAATATTTCTAAAATTAGAAATATCCTGTCTTAGAGTGACGCTCAAAAACAAATTGATTCATTTATTACTTCTAGGCTGTAATTCATTATCAGGAGGTCCTAAAAACCGAAAAGCCTTCAGTCGATCAAAATGCTGCAGGAAGAGTACTGACAAGAGAGAGCATATTTCTCCTATACTGGCTTACCTTCGTTGGCTCCCTGCAGAATTGAATTCAAAATCTTGCTCTTCACATACAAAGTCTTGAATAATCAGGCCCCATCTTAATGGTCTTATAAACCATATCACCCCATTTATACACACTACGCATTAAATCATTACTTATTATTAATCTCTGGCTCTCATCATCTCACCAAATCAGCAATCTCTTCTCACTGCCCTCCATTAATAAACTCACCTTCATAATTTGGAATAACGCATCTCTCCCTCTTTTACAGTGGTCCCCACTCCTGTGAAGCTTTCTCCCTGCCATTTTGGTGACCATAGTGACCCCTGTGCTAAATCAGCTTTTGCTTAATAGAAAGAAACTGTTTTGGGGTCCTCTTCTGTTTCCAAACTTTATCTTTGTCTTTGATCTCAGGCTCTAATATTGTGAACCAAACCATATTCTACAGACTACGCTTTAAAAAGACAAACTGTAATTAATTCATGCACCTTAAGGAGGTGTTTTCCTGCTGACGTGGGTGAAAACTGGTGATGAGATTACAGACTGACATGTTTTAATCCTTGCACAACAAGTGCTTTTGACTCTTTTCTTCTCTCTCTATTGATATTTGTTTGTACTTGTCATAGAACACAAAGCATTACAGCAAATACACAAAACCAAACAGTGAGAATAACCATCACAGTCCAATTCTTAACGTTTTCATTTTTAAGCACTATGTGGGGAAAATACATCACAAATCATTCGTCAGTGGTACGATTAATGCTGCATCCACTTTTTGCACTGATTTTTGACATAAACTGATATTTTATCTCGTTACTCAAAAAGTTATTCAGAAAGATCAGCAATCGTCTGTCTTCTGATTCTACTTGACTGATAAACATGGCATTTTTATTTAAAAAAACAAACAAACATATTTACCACTTTATATGTCCCCAAAGTGTTATTCTACTTCTACATCTACATGGTGGTCTTTCTAAAAGATATCAGCCTGTTTCAAACATGACTGGCATTTTTCTTGAAAATGTGTCAATTCTACACCAGATGTCCTTTTTAAAGTTTCATGAAAAGTCAACAGGAAAATTTATAGCCATACCAAAGACCTTATGGGAGACAGTTTGGCCAAAAGGTGGTGCCCTGCATCTACTTGACTCTTACCTACTATATTAAAACCTATTAGAGACACATTGCACCACACATAACATTTATTCATTGTGTTGCTGGGGCCAAACCTGTGGAACATCTGGACCAAGTGGCACACAGACAAAGAGTAACAAAGAGAATAGCATTACCAAGAGAGGGAGGCTCAGGTTTCACAACAGTGCCAGAGCAGCATGTGCAGTACAGTACATGATGATGATGATGATGATGATAAATGCCAGAGCCAAGTGGAGCTTTTTTGAGAGCATTTATGTTCTCATAACAACTCTTGATGTTTTGCTGATATTACCTATTTGATATTTTCCAGGTGACTTCCAACAGCCAAAACAAAGTTCATATCATGTACAGAGAACAATGAAAAAGAAAAAAAAATGTATATTTGCACGGACTAAAAATATGCACAAAAATAAAAAGGGGCTGAAAATGGCATGGCTACTATGAACTTATTCTTTGCATTGTTTTCAATTTCACACCTGAACTCTGCAAATTAAAAAAAAACAACAACTTCCTGCTTTTAAAAGGTTTTTAGTGTTCAGAGATAAAATGGCATACTACAAAGATGAATATTTCAATTAAAAGTTGTGACAACATAATGTCCATTTACTTTTCAATAAAGTTTCAGTCCCCTCCATGAATCGCTACCTGTTGGAGAGGTTTGTGTGTCCCAGGGAACCCAGGGGGTTTGTTGTCAGGGAGCTAGACCCCAAGGTAGGGGTCTCCCATGGCAAATTGGTCCTGGGCTAGGGACCAGACAGGAAAGGGGGGTTGCACTGAATCATAGTTGTTATTAACCTCTGTCTCTCTTCCACAGCATGTCTTTTGCCCTGACTTCCTTCTCTCACCCCAACCGGTCGCAGCAGATGAGCTTGGTTCTGATGGAGTTTTTTTTCCTGTTAAAAGGGATTTTTCCTTCCCACTGTCATCAAAGTGCTTCCTCATAGGGGGTCATGTGATCGTTGGGTTTTTCTGTAAAGAGCCTTGAGGCGACTATTGTTGTGATTTGGCGCTATATAAATAAAACTGAATTGAATTGAATTTAGTTAGGCCATCTGGGAGGGGCTCGGAGCAGCTACTCCTCCACATTAAAAGGAGCCGGTTAAGGTGTTCTGGGCATGTCCCACCGGGAGGAGGCCCTGGGATAGACCCAGGACACGCTGGAGAGATTATATCTCTTGGCTGGTTCCCCCAGAAATTACCAGTAACAGGCATGATCTAAATAAGTGGTGTGTTTTTAACACAAGGAAGTCCTATTTGATTACACAGCATCAGTACTGCCTCCTGCATGCATGTCAAACAACATGTGTCAGATAGAATAATTTATATTTATTTATTAAAACACTTTATAACCAGAAATTGCTTAAAAGTACAAGATTCACTGCCACTAGGTTGTTCTGGTTAAAAATAGCACTTCAAAAAAAAAATCAATTTGGCTAAAGACAGGCCACGTGGGGAGGCAACCCACAGGGAGGAGTGCCCAAGGGGTGCCACCACACACCCGTGACGTCGCACTGCAACCTAAATGGTGCTTTATAGTTGTATCCCGGTGTTTACACTCACAATGCTTAAGAGGGAACCTCACCAAACGTGTCTACTCACCACAGCCAAATAATTTTCTGGGGAAATTAATCCGATCTGCAACGCAAATGTTATCGTCGCCATCTACGACAGAAATGAGTCCCAAACACTTAAATCCTCGGATTAGACAACTAGGGGAGGGGTGAATCTTCATGCGGCGTTCACAGACACCACGCAGGAAAAGAAGATCTACAAAAGCAAGCTCACTACACCTGCATTATGTCCTCAAACAAAATGCAGACATGTAAATGTAGTTCATAAAAACAAACAGAGCTCCAGTCTAATGAGATGCATCTTATTCAGTGTATAATGTTTATATTCATCATTTCCCCCTGTCAAAAAAAAATAATATGTGGAATTATTATATGCACTATATATTTTTATAGTGTGCTAAATAAAAAAAGGTCAGCAGTTAAGACTTCCGGATATATTTTTTACAAATAGGTCCCTCTGACACATTATTATTATGTATTGTTATATATCATTATTATGGCACATGTCAGAGTGTCACAGTAAAGATTAATAAGCCTAAATAACCGTGATGCAGAGTCCAGTTTTTATCTTCTTGTTCTTCGTGGTCTCGTCTTCATCGTCTCCTCAGCAGCAGGAGTAGCACTGTGTGGATGATGGACGTGTTTGATCCCATAACAGCAACATCTGCCCTGAACACCACCCGGATGTCACCAGCTAAGCAGAAGCAGAGAGCAAAGCTTATAACGGTAAACACAGAGGAAAGTTACAGAATCTGGTCGGTTTGAGTGGAAACAGCATCAGCAGAGATTGATGATTGATTCGTCTGACGTCAGGGCCGATCGATATACTGTACTTTATTATATTTTTATTATTGAAATGTGTTAACGCCAAAGAAATTTCTCAGAAAGGCGAAAGTTGCACATCTTTGACTCTTCACAGATTCTGTTCTTCAGTTTACAGTGACGCTCTTCATCAGTGTGGACTTCCCTCTGACATTCACCTTCAAAGACGGACCCACCTGTGCTCCAGGTGTATTCTCCGCCCACAGGTCCTCCTCCTGTTACCTGGAATGTCGCGCCTCACTTTGGCACACAGTCTTGTGCAACCAGAGAGTTACAGCCCCGTAACTGAAAATCACGTGATTTCAGTAAATGAAACCAGTAACCGTGTGTGTCCGTTGCCGCTCACCTGTGGAGATAAACGTGGCAAAGATGGGCAACAGCGAGACAAAGAAAAGAACGACCGCAGACTACACAGGACCCCAGAGCAACCAAGCGAGAGTTAAAAGGAGCTTAACTTTAAATCCTCAGAAGAGAAAACAGTCCGTCCGACTGAAAAACCGCCCTGCTAGTATAGATGGAAGCACCGGGCTTTGGGATGATTTTGATCCCTCAAGGCGCAGATACTTGGAAACTGACCTGGACCTTTACCACGAACTGCAGAACCATCTGGAAAATGCACGGCGGAGGATGAGAGATAAGGGCAAAAAAGACGTTTCTGGAGGTCTGGACGCCAGTTTGGTGACTGGAGAGGAGAAATGTTACGACCCAAACGACACCACCCTTACATTTGTTGAAGGAGAAGATGATATGGACTGTAAGTAGTCAAAGAACCAGATAAATACTTTCAGATTTGACAGCATGGGCTTAAAAGATTTTTATAAGTTAAGTCTTCCTTTTTGTCTCATAGTTGAGGGCAGAGATTATAAATCTCTGAGAGCCCGGATGTCCTGCGGTCATTCTGTCACCCCCATGTCTCTCACCAGCTGGTGTCACCATTTGTTGGACCAGGTACCACATGTTTATTATTAATCAGATTCTGAAGTATTAGTATTAGTATCCATTGTCTCTCATTGTCCTTCTTGCACATTTATCTTCCCAACTTTCCACATAAATTATGAAATTTACTTTGCATGATTTAAAATCTATTTCTAAATCATTTCTAAATCTATTATAAACTCATTGGCCAATTTGTTAAGTACACGTTGTTAGACTTGCTTTTGCCTTCAGAGGTTTTGAAGGCAAAGTTTAAAAGAATATAATTCGACACAGTGGAAACATTCCTTGGATGTTTTGGTCTATATTGACTCAACAGCATCACACAGTTGCTGCAGATCCCGTGATGGGAATCTTCCATTCCACCACATCCCAAAGTACTGCATTGAATTGAGATCTGGTGGCTGGTTGCAAAATGGGCAAGAAAATAGCCCACGTGAATTGTGGCCTCAGTTTCCAATTCATAGCTGGCAGGTGCGGTCTTCTGCTGCCCATCTGCTTCAGGGTTCAGTGTGTGGTGCACTCAGAGATGCTCTTCTGCATAACTTGGTTGTAACAAGGGTTGTTGCCTTCCTATCAACATAACAAAGTTTGGCCATTCCCCTCTGACCTCTGACATCACCAAGATATTTTCTGATGCTCACTGGATATTTTCCATTTTTTTTATTCTCTGTAAACTCTAGAGTTGGTCAGCAGTAGATCAGTCCGTTTGGCACTAAAACCCATGCCACTTTCAAAATCCACTAAATTAAATTTCTTTCTCGTTCCGATGTTCAGTTTGAATCTCGGTAGCTTCTTTTGACCATGTCAACATGCTCAGATGCAATTAACTGATTTCTTTTTGATCCCTCAGGGTGAGAGCCGATTTGTGTGCGGCCAGCCTGACTGCAATGCTGAGTGGTCACATGAAGAGGTCTGTAAAATGGCTCTTCTGACTCCTGCAGAAATCAAATACTTTGAAAAAAAGATGCTCAGCAGCACTGTCATGAATTACCTGGAGGTCAGTGATGTATCAGCAAGCCGTGGGAAATCGTGAACACAACATCGGCGTCAGGGATGTGAGGAATGTGGGATCCTGGCTGTGCCTCAGCCTAAGCCCATTCAAAAAGGGGCTTACTGGTGGTGCATGATGGCACTAAGAGTAAAAACATTTCCTGTCCTCGCTGCAGGGTGGAGCTCTGTTTTGCGTGCCTGAGGCTCACTGCAGGGGCTGCTTCAGAAATTGTCTTTGGTTCATTCAAATGTTTAAGCATTATTTATTTTCCTTTACTTGTTTGATACATATTATGCTGAAGCATTTTTTTTTCTTTAACTGTTTGTCTTTAACAACTTCAGGCATGTGTATCACTGTGCAAAAGTCTTGAGCCACCATCATTTTTGCTCTCAGCTTCTGTTGGTGTGAACCAAACTATATTCTACAGGCTGGGATTTAAAAAGCACAAGTTTAATTCATTCATGTTCGTGTTGGGTCACAGCACTAGGAAGCAGCAGCTTTCTGCCAAACTGGTTTCAAAGTATCTGTCAGTTTGCCAGCAGGTGTTTGTTCTGTCACGTCCCTTCGTGATGAATGACAACAAAGAACCTCGAGGTGGGAAAACAGGCTGACTTTGTGTCCTGTAAGTCTCAGCAAGTCTGGGCACGCGTTTTTCCGAGGCATGTCATGACATTCATATCTACATTTGCATCTTGTGGAAATAATATGCTCACTTACAATAACAATCACAGGTCATTTGTCATCTGTGTCACTCCTGTGAGATGACAAAACTGTTCTAGAGGAAGTGTTTTAAAGGAAATTGCTCGTTCGATTCTGCTGTATCATCAGTAAGACTATCTCAAAATTACTGAACCTAAATGTTCAAAAGTAAAGATGGGGATAGTTTGGAGGTTTAATCAGTGCAAAAAATCAAAATACAGTTAAAAATTTACAATTTGTTACCATATATTTGATTATTTTACTGTTTACCCTCATCCTCTTTGAATTTACATTGTATTTAATGCCATAAACAAGTGTAGGTTAGAGAAATGTCCATGACAGGGAAATGATTTTGATGAACGAAACTAACATTTAGTCGTCACAATCTCATTTGACAAAATGATTTATGGAAGTATAAATCCAGCTTCTCCATCTCTGTGGCTTGGGTCTTCCCCTGCTGATAGAGAACTCCACAGCGAGACAATCAAAGGTAGAAAATAAAAACACCCCAGGAAATAAAAGTAAAAGCAGTTTTTTAATTCACTTTAAAATGAAAAATTTAGTCTTTGCCCATTCCTAAGAACAGGCTTTCTACAGATGACCCTGCTGGTCAGGGGCCACCATGCGTGTTCTGAACATACATGAGCGACATTTCCAGCAGGACACCATCAGTGCAGCCAGCAGACACGCAGCAGCAGTGAAGCACAGCGCTGTGGATACAGGTGGGTCTGTGGGTGGTCTGAGGGGAGACCAGGTCCCATCATGGGCTGAGGTAGAAATCTCACTACACAGACAAAGAGAAGTTGAAATGAAGTATATGTTGCTTTAACGGACGCCGGGGCATGTTTGAAGTTGTACTCACCATCTGATGCATGCAGGAAGTGTCCTGACATCATCTAAGGGAGGAGTCACATCAGGGTACAGACATAACCTCCTGTCAGGGCAGAAAACTGCACCATTGTATCCTTTAATCTGATGCAAAAATAAATAATTTTTATATATGAGATGTTGACTGTATTATCCATTAGGATGTTTTTATACTAAGATGCTCTTAATCATATAAATGTGGTAATAATAGAAACATCTGTATAAATGAAACTGTTTATATGCACAAAAACTGCAAGTTTTAACTCTGGATTAATGCTCATCCAAAAACACATAACACTGTAATAAGCCATTATGTTATTATACCTGAATGTTGCCCCCTGCTGGACAGTCCACCCACTCAGAGCCAAACACCTGGATCTGATACCTGTTCGGTCCGGTACACCTGTGCCTATAACACCGGCCCTCCACAGAGCTGCTGACCTGACTCTGGTTCTGAAAGACAAACGAGAAGTTACAAAGGATTCAAAAGAAAGGGTGAAGAGAGTACAGGGGAGGACCACACACACACACACACACACACACACACACACACACACACACACACACACACACACACACCTGTGTGCTGAGGCTGGAGAGAAAGCATCTGCTGTCAAAGCCGAAACTCTCCCCGCTCAGCTCATCTTCAGCTGTCCACCTGCTGCTTTCTTTTTTCCAGCATTCACTCTGAAGTGCGAGATTCAAAACGTGTACTGAAGATAAATACATAATAATAATAATAATAATAATGTCCTCTCATCTTCAGTGTTTAGTGTGAATGCACGAAGATACTGAGCTTACTCCATTCTGCAGGGGTTTATACACTCGACAGCCCTCCAGGTATTGGTCAGTCTGGCACTCCCCCTTGTGGAGATGAAGAAAATGACATCCACGTCCACTGAGAAGTACAAATAACACAAACATTTAGGACAAAGTGACAGAATTTCTGTATGAAAATATATGTTAACACTAAATTACTTTAATTTACCTTCCAGTGCAGAAGAAGGATGAGGAGTTATCTTGGCAGGTTGACAGGGAGCCAAACATGGCTCCTTCACCTATTAATAAGTCATAAAAAACTGTTTATTATTTAAAAAGTATGATCACAGAGTGTCTATGTTGAGCTTTTGTTAAGTCTCCTGTTATGATGATGCAGTTTTCAGTGCATTTTCTTCATATTTCAGTTTCCTTACCGTCTCCCCAGACCAGACTCTGAGCCCGGCTCAGGTCGATGGTGTACCACCCCGTGTCCTGTAATGCAGCTAAGGTCACTGGGTCGATCCGAACTGTGCTAGGATCCCCGAGCACTGCCGACATAATGGAGCCCTGCAGGACCCGGGACTCCCAGTGTGAGGACACCCTGCCTGGAGCTGCGTCCTGAGGGGTGAAAGCACCGTTAGGTTTCCTTTTTAGTTTGTTAAAGTTTTCTGCACTTGAAGCTGTGCAGTACCAGGTTCTCCAGTGGCCCTCCCAGCTCCGGATCACTGGACACCAGGTGCTTCTGCAGGGCTGAAATGACGGACGGGGTGTAAATCCTCATGTGGCCGGATCCGTCAGAGTGACTCGCTTTGCCTCGAGGAGAACAATCAGCACCCACTGCAGGATCCAGCAAAGAAATCGCTGATAAAGAACCACCTTCTGACCAAAGCATGTGATCTTTAATGAAGGTCAGACTCAATACACTCTAACTTGTTTTAATGAAATATTTTTTTTTTCATTTTAATCAGATTTGAGTGTTCTTCTATGTGCGTTACCACTTAATATTTGCATTTTTAATTCCCAATTTTTGTTCTTCGTCCACACTTTGCACAGTTTCAAAGTAAAGTAAACAAACTTTTGAAGACACCAGCCCATGTGTGGAAGGATGAATGCTTATATAATATCAATCGTCGTTAGATTTTATTATAATAACCTCACTCACACACATTAAGAAAAATGAATTTTTACACAGTTATTACACATTCACTAATGGTTGGTAAATTACAGTTTAAAAAAGGATAAAGTGGTGTAAATGATGTGTTTAAAAACCTTGGGAAGCGGAGGAGGAGTAACAGTCTCTCCAGGTGCTGAAGAGATCCTTAGAAAATCCAAGTGCATGGAACAATTCATGAATGACAGTCTGGAGAACAGAAGAATATAATCTGTCATCATGATCCATCCTTCTCTGTTAAAACAGCCACAGAAACCTCACTTTTCACATCATGTATCCATAAAAGTAATCGTACCTGTACTGTAGTCTGGTGGCTGTATGTGGCTCCTGTCAGCCGGTCCCTGCAGATGACCACCACCCCAGCTACAGGTCGCCCGTGACTGTCTGTCTGGCAGTGAACAGCGTAGGCCAACACACTGGGCTGAGGAACAAGAAGATACACTGAGGAGGAGGTGAAAGCCACGTCGGCGAAGTTTAATTTAGACGCTTTAAAAAAAATTTCTTATAAGAAAGTGGAGAAATATATGATCAAATAGAGCAACAATTTACTGCTGTTTTCAATCATGAATAGAAACTTAATGAAGAAATGTCAAAATGTTTTAGGACTGCTGGGATTTGAGTGGAAAAAAATGAAGTAAAACTAACTTTTAATGGTTTTATATCAAATTTTTCTGTTATCTGTAGGTTTGCACCTCTGCTCTGCACTTGTCTGTGTCCTGTACATGGAGGTAAAGCAGGAAGTCGGTATCAGGGACTCCAGCACCTTCAGGTCTGAGAACAGTCCTTTTGTGTGAATCGGCCTCGGGGTAAATATCACATCCAGCCAGGTGGTCGTCTGGGATCTACTGATGTTGGCACTGTATTATTCAGAAGCAGCAGTCTAGTACATGCTGTGTGTGGCAGCAAAAATTTGATACTCACGGTCGCATCCAGGCAAGTTTCACTTCCGTAGTTTTTGTTGGCTCTACCACACCTGGGAGAATAAAAAGTCTGCTTATTTCCATTTATTTGCATAAGTTGACAGCTGATAGAGCTCAGATATACGGGACAGTACGAGTGAGCAAATACAAACCTGTTGGTTGATGAGTTTAAATACATAGTTACTTGCACTAATGTGTACATTTCTTTTAAAGAGTGAGAGCATTCATTAACTTTGAAACATGGTGTGTTAGCTGGAAGCAGCTAACAGAAGGTTAGCAACAATTCTCAAATGATACTCAGCTTTTATTAAAAAGTCGTCTGGATATTTTCTCTTTTCTGGATAATTATCTGTAAACTCTGGTTTTGTGGTTTGTGGGAAAAATATAGAAATATTTAGACAGGCTGCCTGACACCAACAACCTGCCACCTTCAAAGTCACTTAAATCACCTTTCCTCCTCGTTCTGATACTCAGTTAAATTTCAAGAGTGTCCTTTACCAATGTATACATGTCTAACTGCATGTCATATGATTAGCTGGTTGGATTTTTGTGTTGTATGTAAAATAAGAATATAGGGGAAAAATAATTTTAAAGACTCAAATCTTGCCAGAGATGTTTGTTTGAGGGACTGGAGCTACACTCGTGTGTACTTACCTGTTGTAGTTGATAGTACTTGAATCCCTCCAGAGAAACTTGCAGTATTTGTTGATGTCTCTGCTGAGCAGTAAAGGGCCCGGCACTCTGTTCACTGTTAAAATGTCAGCAGTTTATGTGTGTGTGTGTGTGTGTGTGTGTGTGTGTGTTCAGATCCAAGATTTACTATATTGTCACTGAGCACTACCTCAAAGACACAATGCAGAATGAAATTACGCTGCACAAGCTCACATAAAGACATAAAAATGTCAGTGTTATAAAGTCAGTGTTACTTATTTAAAAAACACAAACACAAATATTCAGTTATTGCACAAGACAATGTTGATTGCATTGAAATTTCTTTGTTGTCAGATTTGTGGAGTGTAATAATCTACAGCACACCAGTCGTTTCTGTTCAACAGTCACCTGACAGTAAAGAAGACACCACTCTCACAGCTTCTTCCACCGCTGCCTCCAGCCTTCCTTTCTCAGCCTCTGATAGGCTGTCGCTCTCTCTCGGAATCCAGGTCCGGATCCTCATTGGCTGTGGTGAGGTAGGAGTAGGTGAGCCAGATTTTCCCAGGATGCTCCTCTGCTCCTCTGACCTTCTGAGCCTGAGCTGCTTGGGTGGGCTGTCTGTAGCTCTGACCACTCTGACCTGAACCTGAAGCTCATCAAAGATGCACCTCTGCAGGGCTCCTGGGAGCTCCACCACGGCCACCATTACCACCAGCACCATCCCCACCCAGAGGTTCGAGGATGGAGGGGAAGCCATAATTATGGTGGAAACCTATTTCAGGGTAACAGTGAGGAAGAGGAGATGATGTAATGTTTCAGATGGCCGCTGAGGATCCCAAAATATGGCCGTGAATGTATTTGATTTTATTTATTTCTGTCTTTGTGTCATGTATTTGTACAGATTATAAAAAAGGATCAATAGTATTATTCTGACAATTTGGGGTTAACCGTAACATCATTAACTCCAGCTCCTCCTCTGTCTCCAAACCATCATAGCAAATCTTGCTGCCATGTTGCAAACAGAACAGTTAAAATAATAAAGTAACTGTAAACACTGAGTTCTTCTGTCTGCAGCTTTGAGCTTTCTTAGGTCAGTAATGACCAATCAGAGGTCCACGGAAGCAGCTACATGGATAGATTCACTCAAACTATTTAAATAATAAATAGTAAATTACATTTTACAACTTTCAGAGTCTCTAGAGAACAAGTTTGGGCTGGCACGATTAACTAAAATAAATACTTCATCAGTAGAAATAGTTAAAACAAACAAATCAAGGTTTTGAGGTTTCAGCTCACTAAAAGTTGGCTAATAGCTGCAACTGTTTAATAAACATACTGAACAGAAAGTGGTTACTAAATGAAGTGAAAAGCTGTTAAAGAAGAAAGTAGTGGATGGAAATCATAATGAACAGCTATGGATAAGCAAGTTTGCTAAGCACAAACACTAAGCAGCAAACAGGAAGCAGTCCAGATCCTGTTTGATGCTGGTTCAAGTTTAAACATGAAAGGCAGTGATGAAGAAAGAGTGCATGAGTCAAAGGTTGGGAAACCTCATCATGAATAATCTGAAGTAAGGTTTTTCCTCGAACAGGTGTGTAACTGGACTGTGTGGTGCAGGGTTTTGTAGAGTGTGAGG